TGTGTGTGTGTGTGTGTAGTGTATGTGCGTGCACAGGCATGACCACTTGTATGATGATGGGGAAATCGGGAATCAACTTTAAACTGGAACAGAATGCAGCAGCATGGTTGTAAATAGCATTGGCTATTCAGCACACTTAACATTATTGCTTTGGTTTGGTTGCCAGTGTCTTTTCAAGTGCAATTCAAGGTGATGGTTGGCAATTTTAAAGCCCTCCATGGTTTGGCAGCAGGTTACCTAAATGATGTCTTTTTCCAACAGTTTGTATCTGGTCCAATCTGATCTGGTAGGATGGGCATACTCCAGGTCTCCTGTCAACCAAGGATTAGCACCTGGTGGGTAACCAGATGTGTCTCTTTTCTGCCAAAGCACTTATACTCCTGCAATTAGGATGATCCCCAACTCTGTTGGCCTCTCAGAAGGTCTTGAAGTCTGGGCAATGTACCCAGGTCTGGAGTCCTGAGTCTGTAAAAGGCCCAGTTCCTGATTATGCTGACATGAAAGGATTACAATATCTCTTGCCTGTTATTTGAATTTAATTTTTTCCCCTCTATTGTGCTTTATTTATTTATATGCTTGTTCACTGTCCAGAGTTTGAAATGGGCAGCTGCTTACGCAAAAAATTATCAGTTGATGCTGGAAGATGCTACCTAACAAAACTTCTCAATCATTTTTTGCTCACAGCCCCTTTCTGAACCTCATTTACTTCTGTGACTCCCCCTCTTCAGACTCTTTCCATCTACACTACACGCCAATCAAGAGGTCAATATTGGCCTCCAAGAGTCAATTCAACTATCCATAATTGTTTTGGTTGAAGAGTCAGCCAGAAGTTTATATTGGCTTTGGCGTTTTTATTCATCTATCAAGTCCTTCCCAAAGACCTGGGATAGGCAAGTTGTTTTAATGGTAAGTTGTTGTGACTGGGAGGTTTGAGCCTGCTGTGCGCTTTGAGTCTGATGTGTCAGAAGACACAGGTTCGAGTGATGAGGAGGGTTTGGCATTGGGATTTAAGCCTGCTTTAATGGGAGATGCAGACCTGAGCCAGGAGGATGAGGAAGTGTCGGAATCACCATCCTCTGCAGAACCTTCCTCATCAATTATGCCTCAGGTGTCAGCAGATGATCGACAGAATGTGCCGGAGTCCTTGGGTGATGATCAAGCCGATGAATGCTGGGTTGATGTAAGGACTAGACGTAGGCTGAGGCGTCAAGCACAAATTGAAAGGAAACGTCAAATCAGGGACTGAGTAGAGAGACTGACACGCCCCTTTAAGAAATATAAGGAGGCGTGTTAGTTAGGAATCCCCGTTCGGGTCAAACTTTGTTATTTACGTTCGCAGTTTGGAAAAAGTTTTCTGTTTGCCATTTGGCTCTGATTTATAGTGCTGCTCATTATCTGGATTTGCAGACAGCTTCTGGGAAAGCTGCCAAGGACGACTTCAGCCAGAGGAAAGTTAACTCTGTTGTTCCTGATATTGTCCGTTCGTATTTTTTCCTTTGGACATTTGGACTCTCACCTTGTGGCCACAGGTGAGACAGAACAGTAAGTTATTTTAATAAATGGTGCTAACAGTATCATTGCAAGATGTAAGATCCTCAAAGTAAACCTGCCTTTTGCAACCGACTGATGGTAATTTTGTCAATGCCAGTGGTGTAGAAGTGGTCATCCAGTTGCTTTGGGATTGTTATTATAACAATTAGTACTGTTAGTTAAAATACTACTTTAAATTACTTTCCTATAATGTTTGTTTGGGAGTTAATGAACAATGTGAAAATTCATAAAGGGATCAATGAGCTCAAGAGTTTGGGGATCACTGATTTACACTGTATCATATATACATTGTGACTCCCTAAAAACATGGCATGGCTCTCTGGCTGAGAACCACTGCTGTATATCACAGTAAGGAATGATTTCTGATGAGCTGGTGCAGTTGAGAGACTATGACTGTCTTCTTAGGTACAATCTATTTATTTATTTATTTATTTATTTTTGTCAATTGCTTACAAAATAATAGGTATAAGTAAAAACATAGTTATGAATAGATGGATACATATAAGAAAAATAAAAAAAAATAAAAGAAACAATAGGACAGGGACGGTAGGCACGTTGGTGCGCTTATGCACGCCCTATCCATCACTAAACACTATTCTACATTGCCCTGTTAAAGAAAAAGAGAGAAACAAGTAGGCCTGCAAGATTCTTTCCCATTGTCAATATCCTCCACATTTTTTTGCTTACAAGTCATTAATTACCATTTTGCTTGTTCCCTCAGTTCTCTCTATTAAAGCTGGTTAGCAAAGATATGGTTATCAGTCCAACTTCCCAGCATGGCCTCTTGTACCTCCCACTGCTGTTATGCAAACAATAACAAATTCAAATGTTAAACTGACTGTCTCTTACTTCTCTGCTCATTTCCTCCTCCCTCAAAATAAGAGGAAAGGCATCCCTGACAAGGGCTTTTGTACCCAACGCCTATCACAATGAGATCATTATCATTTTTGCTGTTTTTATCTTTACATTGCAACAGGCAAGGAGGCCTCTGTTCACTGTCTAATGAAGATAGAACAGGATTAGGGTTTTGAGTGCAAGAGTTGTTTATATTAATTTGGCCTTCCATTTGCTAAATGGCCACAGAACAATGGCTGACTAGCACAAAAGTAGACCCAATAAGAATTGAGCCATGATTTTCCATTCTATGGTTTCAAGCTAAATTTAGCCTCATGAAGTGAGATACACCTACCTATTCTGAAAGACAGATGGGAGTGAAGATTCCCACAAAGGTTAGGAATCAGGTAAGGCATACATTTAATAAATAATATTTCCCATAAATTGAACTGAAACTTCCAAGCTACAATCCTAGAATCATTCAGAGGTATTACTGAACACAAACACTTATAGCAGCAAGTTTCTTAAAAGGAATACTGATCCATCAAGGGAAGCTTTAAAAAAAAATCTACCTCTCCTTTTGAATTAGAACAAAAGAAAAATAATTAACCACAGAGATACAAAGGAACAAGAGGTTCATTGCAATCCTAAAGCCAAGGCTAATGAAATAGATTGGCACTAAAATGGAAATTCACTGATGAAGCATAAAAAAGCACCACAGAAGAAAAGGAAGGGGAATATTTGTTCAAGAGATGTAAAAATAGTAACAGTAATAACAAAGACAATTGGTCATAATTGAAAAAGTAATGAAAATGACAGTTGGTGGTAAATGTTCATACAGAAACCATAAAAGAGAAATTATGACAGGATTACACAAATGCATCTTATTAATAGAGCCAGTAATAACCGTGAAGCTTTAAAGCCCTAAGATGTCTGCAGCTGAGAAGCAAAACAGATTTAAATTGTGGTTCTTGGGGTTTTTTTTAAGCAGAACTGAGGTGAAACAATTGTTCAACTGTGATATTAAATAATGGACAGATGGTTCAGAGTACACTCACAGAATCCATGCTGTGAGAAGAAGACTGCACATGTCTTTTGTAATTTACCCCAGCTAGATGTCAGGGTTTAGAAGATTTCACAGGTTGTGTGCTTAGCATATACAGATAGTCCTTGATTTAGAACAGTCCAACATCACTGAAAAAGTGACTTATGACTCTCTCACTTACAACCATTGCAACATCCCCAGGATCATGTGATCAAACACTTAGCAACTGACTCATACTTATGGCGGTTGCAGTATCCCGGAATGATGTGATCCCCTTTTGCGACCTTCTGATAAGCAAAGTCAGTGGGGAAGCCAGATTCACTTAACAACTGTTAGTAGCTTAACAGCTGCAGTGATTCACTTAACAACTGTGGCAAGTAAGGTCATAAAATGGGGCAAGATTCACTTAACAACTGCCTCACTTAGCAACATAAATTTGGGGTTCAATTGTGGGTTGTAAATTGAGGACTACCTGCATCCTCCTTCTAAGCAGACACCCTCCAAATATTTGAATTACTGTACACAATGCAGTGCAGACAATGCTCTGATGTTAGACACAAGCAGGACAGGCTTTAAACTGTATTTACTTAGCTAGAACTGACTGATACAGCAAGCACAGTCAGTACAACAAGACCAATCTAAATATACTTTTTAATGATTTAATACAAACTTACTGAAGCGAGGAAATAATTGGCAGAGTGAGAATAGTATAGGACAGAGTCACGGAAAAAAGGAAATAATACAACGTATAGGTGGAGGGGACTTGTAGGAGAATGTTCTTTGCAGGCAGAAGAACAATTAGAGAGAAAGGCATCCTTTTCAACTCTTCACAGTTTCAGGGAATGTTTTTATCTGCAAGTGGAAATAGTTAGGGATTTAAGCTTTCCCCCCATACTGCTCCAATGCAAAGGCCAAATTATTATGTTTTTAATGGACACAGAAGAGGGGAGGCAGGGAGGGAGGTCAATTTAAAATCAATAATTATGTCTTCCTCTTTTCTTTGGGAAGAAAAATTACTTGGAAGAAAACCTAGTGAACGCTAACAGGGTTGCTTCACAGTATATAGACAGTAGTAAAAAGTACACCTAGAGGAACTTCTGAATTCTCTGTTCCTGTACTGCCTGTTGGTCGTATCATCCAGTGAGTCACCTTTGGGAACTACGGACGTTGTAATACAATGCACTGGGAGGCACCTGGTTGGGAAAGGCTGTGTTACACAAAAAGGCAAGGAAGGGGAAACGCGATTAAAGAAAAAGCCAACGCCGAGCAACACCACCGCCTAGGAAAAACCCTGTCCCGGAAGAGGCAGCAATTCAACTCCAAGAGAGTGGAAGCAGAGGCTGGTTTTCGTTCACCGGGACTTCATTTCGGGCATAGTCTACTACGCCGCAGCTGCGGGCAACTTGCGAAGCCGGGACCAACCGAGAGGGCATCTCTTGAGTTGGTGCGACCTGGCGGGCCCACACCTGCTCGGGAGAGGAGGGCGGGTAGCGAAGAGGACCAGGAAGGTTCCCCCGGCCCCGGCCGGCCAGCTTGTTGGCTTTTGGCCATGGCCGGTTGCTGGACTTACCCTTCAGGTCGTTGGCCAAGCCTTTCCAAAGCGGGGCGAAAGCTTTGCAGTGGCCGCACCAGGAGGCGTAAAACTCGACCACCCACACGCCACTGGAGTTGAAGATGCGGCGTTCCAGCGTATCGGTGTCCAGTTCCACCAGCGGGTCATCGGGCGAGTAGAGGCCGAGGCCGTGCGCCCCGGGGCCCTGCACCAAGAGCAAGAAGGCGACGGCACGAAGGAGGCGAGCGGGAGGCATCAGATGCCGCGATCCGGCACCGGAGAGCCACCTGGGCATCGCGCTTAAGCCGCCCCTCCGAGGAGAAATGCGCCCGATGCTCCGTGCCGGGCTGGGAAAGTCACTCGGCCCTCGCGCGGGCGGAGCCGGAGGCGGAGCGGGAGTGCTCCCCTTCCCAAACCGAAAAGGGGAGGCCCGCCCTCCAGCGTCCCGCACGTGTGGCTGCTCTTGGTTGTCATCAAGCGCCGCCTCCGGGCGGAAGGAACCAGGGGCTCCGCAAAGCCAGGGGTGGGTGAGCGGGTGGGAGAGAAGCGCCCGGAGACCACTCTAAGATTGGGGCCAAAAGGCGATTCCAGGAGTCGGGGGAGTTTTGCAACCGGCCGGCATTCCAAGGCTGACCTCCTTTGTCGAGCGGGATTAAAGCCTTCCGGATTCCTGACGCTTTCATTCAAGACGTTTTCAACCCTGGCAGCAGCGGTCAGGGCTGCAACTGTACTGGCAGCATTAGGATTCAAATGCTTGATTTTCCCCCTTGCATTCCCTGCAAGACATCCAAAGTCTTTTCGGTTCTGAGAAAGGGGAAAGCTTTATGGGCCTGATAGGAAAGTGAATGAGGCAAGACAAGTCTCAGGTATTAAAAAAAAAAAAGGATACATGCTTTGAAAATGTAATTCAATTCTAATGTAAATCAGTTGTGATGTCCACCGTATTACATGGTTTCGGAAAGAAATTGCAAACATTAATAAAGGATTGGGTTGCCTAAAATTACTAATCTTGTACTACTTTTTGGATCTTAGATAAATTCTCTGCTACAGGGCTGCCAGTGATTTGAGAGGTCTCACACACATGAAATGGAAAACTACAACAGAGGATTACTGACCAGATCTTGCAGGGAATTGGCATTCCCGTGGAAGCCGTTTGAAGTGATGCCCTTACAAGAGGAAAAGGAAGAACTGAATTTGATGTAGAGGAGCATATGCTTTTTACATCCAAAAGCCTTTGAATCAAATTCCGGAAACTTTATACAAAAAATCAAGATAAGCCAGAGAAGGATTGCTTTACAGTTCTCAGTGGAAACACATCTATGTTAACTAAGTTAATGACTCAATTGAGAACAAAGCCACTTCCTACCTATGCCCAAGTACCAGGGAAATAAGTATTCAAGGCAAGGAGGTATTCAAAACTTTTTTAAAAAAACAACCTGGCTTGAATAACATTTTATTCAATTGTTTTCATTTTTCATATTGAGGAATTACATTGGTGATTCTCAGCAAATTCAACAGCCAGCCAGTTTGGCTTAGTGGTTAGGGCACTAGGCATCTAGGAGACCATGAGTTCTAGTCCCACTTAGGCAGGAAGCCAGATGGATGACTGTGGGCCAGCCACCCTCTCAGCCCTAAAAGAAGGAAATGGCAAGCCATTCCTGAAATCTTGTCAAGCAAATTGAAGGGATTACAACACTTCCAGTAGACTAAGAGTCCATTAACAGTTGCTAATTAGATTAGAATTCTTTATTGGCCAAATGTGATTGGACACACAAGGAATTTGTCTTGGTGCAAATGCTCTCAGTGTACATAAAAGAAAAGATACATTCATCAAGAGTCAAGAATCATAAGGTACAACAGTTAATGAGTCATAGGGTACAATAAGCAATCAAATCATACTAGGAAACAGTCAATATAGATCGTAAGGATACAAGGACAAAGTTACAGTCACAAGTGGGAGGAGATGGGTGAGAAGGAGTGATGAGAAGATTAATAGTAATAGTAGTGCAGACTTTGTAATAGGGAATTATTAACCCCAAGAGTTCATTTTTTTATATGTTCACAAAATAAAAGATAAAGCTTTCCCCTGTTCAGTCATGTCTGATATTCTGGGGTGTCAAATTCAAGGCCTGGAGGCCAGATCTGACCCACGGGGCCACCCTGCAATAGTGAAGCTGGGCCTCTCCCAATGAAAACAGAGCTCAGGAGGGCCACACATAGCCCTCCCAAGCTCAGTTTTTGTTGGCAGAGGGTTGCAAGAGGCCATCACTGCCAAAATGGAGCTTGGGAGCCCGTTTTTACTAGCAGAGCACTTGGGCTACCACAGGCATCCCCGACACAAGTGATATCGAGCTGGCCACACCTATCCTAGACACGCTCACCCTGGCCCTCTGGGGTCAAACACAACCCTGATGTAGCCCTCAATGAAATTGAATTTGACAGCCTTGTTCTAGAGGGAGGTGCTCATCTTCATTTCTGAGCCAATGTTTGAAGACTTTACTGTGGTCATGTGGCTAGCATGAAAATACACTGAGGGGCAGAGAGTGCTGAAACCTTCCCATCAAAGTGGTACCTATTTATCTACTCAAACTACTGGGTGGGTAGGAGCTGGGGCAGAAAACAGGAGCAAAACCCATCATGCAGCGCTTGGGTCTTGAACCCCGGGCTGGGAAACTTTCCAGCTGACAAGGTCAGCATCTTTAACTCCTGAGACATCACGCAGAATAAGTTCACAGAATAAGTCTTAATACAAACTAAAATAGAGCAAAAAGAGAAATGGAAAGAAAAAAACTGAAAGGTTAAAAAAAAAAGTAGCCCCAAAATAAAAAGTTACAAAAAAATATGCAAAAAAATTCAGATCTTCTTTACAGCAGTTATAAGTACAAAAATAAATTGACCCCTTTCTCTAAAGTTATATCATGACTTTCTTCTTTCCATATTCTATTCTATCTAATCATTGAAACCATAAATGTTTGCATGATTTATTGATGCTGGCCCTGATTCAATAGAAGCCTGCTTGTGCAAAATGTTACAAAAGGTTGAGGAACACCCCAGAAAATAATGCAGAGCCACAGAGGATACACAGGGGAAGAAGCTATCCCGTTATTACTAACCAGGGAGTGTTAACAGCATTATCAATTGAAGTGATCATCACAACAACTGAAGAATAATGTATCTCCAAATATACAGTATATTTTAGCTGAAAATTCTTTTTTTTTTAAAAAAAAACCCAAATTATGAATTTAAAGCATTTAATTTTGTGATGGCTGGAAGCACCACCCTTCTTTTTTCCTCTGGTTGAAATTCCATGTTTGCATTGCTTCATCATGGACAACTAAGCTTGAAGTTACGCAATTAGAAACCAGAAATACATAGTAAGTAGGAAGACTATTAACTTTAATTGAATGTAACAGAATGGAATTAAGTTTCAGAAATGGAAATATTTTTCTTAGGAAATTATTAGACTTCTTTCCCAAACTCTTCCATGGGAATAATACAAAGAATAAAGATAATTGGTATCATCTCTTTCAAATTCAATATGCAGAATATATGGAGGAATATTGGTAGCTGTACAAAGAATAGTAATTTAAAGAGGCACACCTGGAAGAAAAAAATTCTTATTTCAAAAAATAAATTGAATATTTTTAGTTATTCAGTCAGCAATGAAATCTCAACAAAATGATTTTTATTTTGACAAATAATGACAGTTCTGGTTTGAGCATTTTTTTAATTTCTTTTCTGTATTTCTAAATATAAAAAGCCATATACAACAGGAAACAGATTAACAAACTCAACAATATTTGATGCCTGCAAAGTTGTTTTTAATAATGAATTGCTAAATAAGATTGCCAAAACCCTGTTCTCAAATGATATATTTATGCTGTTCTTGAAAAATTATCTTGTGATATTACAACTAGAAAAATTCAAAATTATGCTTCAAATAGATAAATATGATAGCCAATGCAATTTTAATAGGAATAGTACAATATCTCAATGAGGAGAAAATGAGCATATGTATACTACAAAGCAAACAACAAATGTTGAGCTATTTCACACTTTGATTTTTCACACTTCACAATTTTTCTCCAACAAATCATCTGGTCTGGAAAAGTGTTTTTGGTCGTTTATACCGAAGTTGCTGCTGCAATGACAGGTACACACTATCGGGCAGAAGTGGTATTCAGCAGGTTCTGACCAGTTCTGGAGAACCAGTAATGGAAATTTTGAGTAGTTCGGAGAACCAGCAAATACCACCTCTGACTGGAGATTTTACAATATCCTCCTCGGTAGTAAAAAAAAATTTGAATCCCACCACTGCTATGGGGTTACAGTAAATGTTGATTTGCAAATTACACACATGACTCAAAAAAAAACCCCCACTTCAACAACCCCAATCAGGAAACCAAAAACCCAATCAGGAAATGCCTGGTGGGTTTTCTAATCGTATCAACATCAAATCCTGAACTTTTTACTGTAGGACACCACAAAATCCAATGCACTCCAAAGACTCAGTTATTTCTTCCAACATCATCAATCAGCTTTGGCAAGTCTGTGCCCTCCAAATATATTGTCCTTATATCTCCTTCAATTCTCCTACTCTGTCCAGTTGCTGGACCTATTGGCTGGGAATTCTGGCTGGTACATCCTGGATATTTATGCAGGGCACCCAATTGAGGAAGATGGAAGAAAGCAAAAACTGCATCGCTGACAAAGCACATTTGGAGTACAGTAAAATTGTAAAGTTGTAAAAAAAAATGGTAATGTGCAATCCCTATTGCAAAACTACTGAAGAAACCACAAAGATATTGACTAAAAATAATTGTTAGAGGATGGAGCTGCAGTAAGGAGATAGAATGGTATAGAATAGAATATGCTGGAGGAGGAGAAGGCTTTAATAAAGCAGTATTTTGTTAAACTGCCCAGTTGTGCCAACTATTTGAGAGTTGTTTCTGAGTGTCCTAGCATTAATTTGAAGAGCTTATTCAATGCATAATATTTAAATCGTCTTTGGCCTGTTGTGAATTGCCTGAGGTTGCTCATATTCTTCTTTGTAATTTTCTGCCTTTTCAACTATGGTAGTCCCACAAACCGTTTAAGAAATGCTAAAAAAAGCTGGGTTGGATTGGGCCAAAACCTTATCTAATCTTGCATTTTGTTCTGCTCAACCCAAGTGCCAGTGACAAGCAGGACATGACCACCTAATATCCTCCTTCTGCCAATGTTGCACAGCAACTATTATTCAGAGAAGCTGTTGCCTCTGATACTAAACAGAGGAGTAACTGCAGTCTTCTAATAACATTTTTCTCAACCCTGTCCTTTTTTTCTCATTGCCTCTTTACCAGTTCCTAATTTACAGCAATGGC